CCTTTCAAGTTCTTCATTAAACATTCAATTCCATTTTGAGGTTCCTGTAAAATCAAAACTAAATCATCCACAAAGGCTCTCAATTTAAAAACTTCTTTTTTGATGTGCACACCCTTTATATTCACAAGTGTTTAATATCTCTATTTAACACTTCCAGGACTAAAATAAAAAGTAGAGGTGACAAGGGACAACCCTGTCGTGTCCCCTTTTGTATCTTACATGCTTTTGTAAATTCATCATTAACGATAATACTTGCCTTTTGGGAAGTATATATTGATTTAATCCCTTGCAGAAAGTTCTCACCAAAGTCCATATCTTCCAAAACTTTAAACAAGAATGATCAGTTCAAATCACCAAAAGCTTTCTCTGCATCCAAAAAAATCAGTGCTGCTTGCTTTTCATTATGATGTTGCAAATATTCTATTATTTCTAGTACAATTCTTACATTGTCTCTCAGTTGTCTTTTAGGTAAGAAGCCACATTGATCTTCATATATAAAGTCTGATAAAATCTTTTTCAATCTCCTATAATTGTTATTTAACAAAGAGATCGGTCTTTAGTTTTTAGTCATAGTTAGATCTTGACCTTCTTTTGGCAATAACACCATATTAGCTTCCTTCCAAGTCTCTGGTATTGCTGAGCCCCCTAAAACAGAGTTCATCACCCGCTTAAGTGGTAATAACAGTTCATCTTCAAAACATTTATAATAAGAACTTGTTAACCCATCTGGTCCAGGGGCTTTCCCTACTTTAGTCTTTTTGATAGCTTCTGATATTTCAAAGGTGGTCACAGGATTGCTCATAATTTGTTTTTGAGACTGTGAGAGTTTTAGTAAATTTTGTCTTTTTAGGTATGTGTCAATATGATTTAGTGAAAGTTCTTGTCTTTTATACAGATTTGAAAAAAGTTACGAAAAGATTTTTAGTTGCTTACATTATCTGTGAGTGTAACATTTCCTTCTTGTATTTTCATTATCATTTTCTTGTCTCTCTCCTTTCTCATTTGATATGCAAGCGATCTCCCTGGTTTATTTGCAGATTCAAAATGTTCTTTGTTTTGTATATTTTAAATTTGTCTCTATTTCTTTTATAGTTTCATATTTCTATTATAGTTAACATAGAAAGTTGCTGTTGTAGAAGCTTAATTTGGTGCAAGATATCAGTACAGTGGAACCTCGGGTTACGAACCTAATTCGTTCCGTGATTCTGGTCGCAGCCTGAATTGGTCGCAACCTGAAGCAAATTTCCCCATAAGGTTCAATGTAATTACCATTAATCCGTTCGGGCGTGGAAGACAGGGAGGCGGCTATTGCTTGGAGGGAGAGTTCCCCTCCCTACGACCACGTGTCAGGGGTGGAAAAATGGCTGTGGACCACGTGTCAGGGGCGGAAAAATGGCCGCGGACCACGTGTCAGGGGCAGAAAAATGGCCATGGACCACGTGTCGGGCGGAAAAATGGCCACAGACCACGTGTCAGGGGCGGAAAAATGGCCGCGGACCACGTGTCACGGGAGGGAAAATGGCCGCGTATCCTGTTCGTACCCCGAGGCGGAGTTTGCAAACCGAGGCAAAATTTTGCAGCCGGAGCTGGTCGTAACCCG